CTTTCTTAGCAGCCATATTGTCACTCCCTTAGAAAAAGTATAATTGACCAATTGCTATTGCTGGCCTGCTATTAGCTGGGCTGATCAGAAGGAACCACAATTTCAGCCAGAATCTTCACCTGGTAATAAGAGATTATTTTTTATGGACTTTGCAAGTCTTTAAATAAAAAGGCTGGGCATGGTGGTTCACGCCTGTAATCCCAACACTTTGGGAGGCCTAGGCGGGCAGATCACAATGTCAGGAGATTGAGACCATCCTGGCTAACACAGTAAAACCCTGTCTCTACTAAATATACAAAAAAATTAGCTGGGCATGGCTGCAGGCACCTGTAGTCCCAGCTACTCAAGAGGCTGATGCAGGAGAATTGCTTGAACTCGGGAGGCGGAGATTGCAATGAACTGAGATCACGCCACTGCACTCCAGCCTGGGTGACAAGAGTGTGACTCTGTCTCAAAAACAAAAAACAAAACAAAACAAAATAAAGCATGCAATGGCCAAGAAAAGCAGACTAATACCTAAAGGGGAAGGGATTGTTTTGTACCAGGGAAATAGAGTAGTGTCTCCTTAAAACTGGGTGGAAGACAACAGAGGGCAAACTGCATGTAAATGGCATTTTCTTTCTTTTTTTTTTGTTGAGATGGAGTTTTGCTCTTGTTGCCCAGGCTGGAGTGCAATGGCACAATCTTGGCTCACCACAACTTCTGTCTCCCAGGCTCAAACAATTCTCCTGCCTCAGCCTCCCGAATAGCTGGGATTACAGGCGCGCACCGCCATGTCTGGCTAATTTTTTTGTATTTTTACTAGAGACGAGGTTTCACCATGTTGGCCAGGCTGGTCTCAAACTCCTGACCTCAGGTAACCTAATCCCAAAGTTCTGGGGTTACAGGTGTGAGCCACTGCGCCTGGCCATAAGTGGCATTTTCTAAGGAATACCAGGAGTTAAACTGTCCTAATCTAAAGCAACATGTTAATTTACCACAATTTCTTAAAAACATTTAAAAATATTCCTTTTTTTTTTTGAGATAGAGTCTCTGTCACCCAGGCTGGAGTGCAGTGGCACAATCTCGACTCACTATAGCCTCTGCCTCCCAGGTTCAAGAGATTTTCCTGCCTCAGCCTCCCGGGTAGCTGGGATTACAGGTGTGCGCCACCATGCCAGGCTAATTTTTGTATTCTAAAAGTAGAGACAGGGCTTCACCATGTTGTCCAGGCTGGTCTTGAACTTCTGGCCTCAGGTGATCCGCCCACCTTGGCCTCCCAAAGTGTTGGAGTTACAGGTGTGAGCCACCACGCCCAGTTGAAATATTCTTTTTTTGAGACAGACTTTTGCTCTTGTTGCCCAGGCTGGGGTGCAATGTTGCGATCTCGTCTTGGCTCACTGCAAGCTCCACCTTCTGGGTTCAAGCAATTCTTCTGCCTCAGCCTCCCGAGTAGCTGGAATTACCGGCACGTGCTACCACACCCAGCTAATTTTTTTACTTTTAGTAGAGGCAGGGTTTCTTCTCCACGTTGGTCAGGCTGGTCTCAAACTCCCAACCTCAGGTGATCTGCCCGCCTCAGCCTCCCAAAGTGCTGGGATTATAGGCGTGAGCCACTGCACCTGGCCTGAAATACTGAACAAAGTATTTGGAATTGCTAACATAAACTTAAAATAAGAGATTAGTAGATTCAAAAGAATAGGAGAGGGTATCACAACCCATGTAAATGTTGTATTTCTGGTAAAGAATACCAAACCTATGTACGAATATATAACTACATGCATATGTTTTATCACACATACACACAAGCAAAGATACCATTGATGAGAAGATTTGATAACTGTTAAGTAAAAGTAGCACGGTACAGGATCTCTATCTGTGAGTATTGAGAACAGTGTGTCCACAGTTTACCAATGTTGGCCTTGGTCAACTCACTTGCCCTCAATAAGCCCTAGTGTCCTCAGTGAGAAGACAGGGATAACATCACCTAATTCATAAGGCTGCTGTTTCAATGAACTAATTGGATAATTAGTTAGGATAATACGTTAAAGCCTAACTCAGTCTAACGGAGTGAATTAAAGGATAGGACATGAATTACCTTTCTCAGCACACAGTTTACTAACATCCATGGTCTTATTTAGCACTTTGATAGCTAAAGCCAGTGCTGACTTCAACATCATTTCTCCTTTGTAGTCTTGTTTCAACATTGACACAGCCGCCTATAAAACATGAATCAACATAGAATTTTAAGTTTTTACATTTTTTAGAAACATGAATTGGTCTAGAAGAAAAATGCCTAAATAATTATTATAGTGATTATTTGAGATGGAGTTTCGCTCTTGTTGCCCAGGCTGGAGTGCAATAGCGCGATCTCGCTCACTGCAACCTACGCCTCCCAGGTTCAAACAATTCTCCTGCCTCAGCCTCCCGAGTAGCTGGGATTATAGGCACACGCCACCACGCCCAGCTAATTTTGTATCTTTAGTAGAGACGGGGTTTCTCTGTGTTGGTCAGGCTGGCCTCGAACTCCTGATCTCAACTGATCCACCTGCCTTGACCCCCCAAAGCGCTGGGATTACAGGCAGGAGCCACCATACCCAGCCTGAATTATTATCAGCAATACAAGCATAAACTTTTTCTTTTTTTAGACACAGAGGCTCACTCTGTTGCCCAGGCTGGAGTGCAGTGGTGTGATCTCAGCTCACTGTATCCTCAGCCTCCCCAGGCTCAGGTGATCCTCCTCCCACCTTGGCTTCCTGGGTAGCTAGGATTACAGGCACATGCCACGGCACCC